TTTTCCTATTCTGTGTGTTCCCTTTATATTCTTCTGAAGTATTTTGATGCACATAAGTTTTTAATTTTTACTATGTCCCAATCATCTATTTTGCCTACTTTTTTTGTGTAGTTTTCAAAATGTTTGGTAGTCTGTGTATTCCCTGAATAAGTGCCCTTACATTTGTCCCTATTTTTTCATTGATGGCCTTCATAATTTTGGGATTCACATTTAGGTCTGCAATCCATACTGACTTGGTTTTTGTATACGGTTTGAGGTCTTGCTTCAATCTTTTGCATATAGCATTCCAGTTAGTACTTGCCTTTTAATGCTTTTCAAAGATGTGGAAGACTATAGAACCACCTTGGAGCTTTTTGTTAGTTGTCTACTTTCCAGATGAAGCATAAACACTTCATATGTATTTGAATTTGAATTAGGTTCTGGGGTAAAGTATAGTTTGGGTCTTATAGTTATTTGTATACAATGGCAAACTTCTTAGTGGTATGGTGAATGCATGTCTGGTGTTATAGTCATTTTACGCTCTCTAGAAAGTAGAAATATATTCCCCTTAACTTAGTAAATATTCTTTGCTGTGCCCATGCAGAAACATTCATTGACAGGTTTGATGAGACCACACATCCTGTTTTTCTTTTTCAAGCAGCAAAAATGGTTTCATGGAACAAGTGTTTTAGATGAAAATGAATAGGTAGGAAATAAAAATATAATGTAAATCTAGATCCATAGTTGGATAGTTGACAGCTGCAAGTCTGAGGAAGAAAATAGTCAATAGTTTTTTTGTGATGATAGATTGAAATAGGATTAGAATACAGCTGGATTTCATCTGATACTTCTCAACAGTCCACATTTTCCTTAGACTTAAAATAATTCTCTGAATGTGCTTGAAATATTAGGCTATTTACCTATCATACATTCTACTGTTTGTTTGTTTTTTCTTGAGTATATATTTTGGTAATTTTTATGTATCTAAGATGATGTATCAGAAATTGGAAATACATTGCTAAATGTTGTTTGTAATACGTACAAGTTTGCTCATGCATGGCAATGTGATTATTGCTCATCTGAAACCCACAGAAAAGAGCATGCATAATTCATGATATCTCTTACAAGATAGAGAAAGATATGACCATCTCACAGTGGGTTTATAATCTTTGATTTAGAAAAACGTTGCTGTCACTCAGAAGTTTTTCTAGATATGTCATAATTGTATTCAAATAGGACCTTAATCAGTACATTTTAAATACTATCAGAAAGACATATTATTGTTCAGTGCCATTGTATGGATTCCAACTCATAGTGACTATATATAGCTTTTCCAAGAAAAGGCTGATAAGTTTGAACCACTAACCTTGAAGTTCAAACTGACCTTGCAGTACAGTGATTATCCTACAGTGCCACATAAGATATCCAAAAAGACTTAGAGATTATATATGTACAAATTTCTAAAAACTATCAGTCACACTTTCATTAACTAAACCCAGCTTGCTAAATAAAGAATAGGTTCAAATATTTACCTTTTTTAAAAAAATGTTTTTCATTTAGATTTTTCTGGTCATTTGTGTGTGTGTGTGTATTTTTCTATGTATGATAATAAATTTCCCTTTCACTAGAATACAACCATGATTTATATGAAGGAAAGACTTACTCTTAATACGTGTTGTGTCAGCCTGTGAATGTCATAAAAACTCACTGTGAGACTATGAAGCAAGAATTACCTTGTTTTCCATTGAATTTAGGATAAAGACTAAAATTCCAATCTTGATCCACAAGGTTTTGGATCATCTGTTATCTATCAGTCTTAAGTCTCAATTAATGTTGTGCTCTGCCCTCACTCTCTGTACTCCAGATAGTCTGACCTCTTTTCTATTTCATTCTTAAACATCACAGCCTATTTAATTCTCTGAGTTTGTCTCCTATTGCTCTACCACTGTATTCTATGTTTAGTTTTCTAGTTCTTTGCTGTTGCCTAATTGTCTTCCTTTTCTTCCTCTACCAACTTGAAGACACTTAACAACAACAGCAGTAGCAACAACAACAAATTGAATCTTAACATTGTGTCAGATTTTAATCATTCACATAGGCGAGCTTACAGTAGCCTTTTTGCCTAAATGATTTTCTTATTATATGTACTTTATTAACATCATGGCCCTCTGCTTTAAATATCTTTTTTTATCTGCTTATGTGTCTCTATTAAAGATTTCTTTCCTGTTAAGCTATAGTTACAAGGAGCCCTGGTAACATAGGAGATTATAAGTTAGGCTGTTAACTGCAAAGTCAGTAGTTTGATTCTACCAGTCATTCTACAGGAAAAAGATGAGGTCTTCTGCTTCAGTAAAGATTTGCAACCTCAAAATCCTATACAGGGTCACTATGAATTGACACTGACTTGGTGGCATACAATCAGCATCATCATCAAGCTACAGGAAAATATCACTCTTGTTCTCCTTTACATTTTCATCACAACCAAATACTTTGCACAGATAAAGAGCTGAATAAGCATTAGCTAAATGAAAGATGGAATTAATTATAGCTGGTTTCAGGTGTTGTTGTTAGGTCCCAATGAGTTGGTACCAACCTACAGCAATTTTATGAACAGCAGAAAGAAACACTGCCCGATCTGGGGTCAACCTCACTACTGTTGCCACACTTGAGTCCATCTATGCTGCCACATGGCCAATCCATCTCACTAGGGAGTCTTCCTCTTTTTCTCTGACCTTACAAAACATAAGATCTTTCTCCAGTGACTGGTCCCTCCTGGCAATATGTCCAAAATATGAGAGACAACGTTTGGCCATCTTGGCCAACAAGGAGGACTCTGGTTGCACTTCTTCCAAAATGGATCCACTGGTTCTTTTTGCTGCAGCCCATGACACTTTCAATATTCTCCTCCAACTGCATAACTCAAAAGCATCAATTCTTCTATGTTGTTGTTGTTGTTAAGTGCCTTCGAGTCGGAGCCGACCCATAGCGACCCTGTACAGGGTTTCCGAGGGTGTAAATCCTTACGGGAGTAGAAAGCCTCATCTTTCTCCCGCGGAGCGGCTGGTAGTTTCGAACCACTGACCTTAAGGTTCGCAGCCCGATTCGTAACCACTACGCTACCAGAGCTCCTTCTATAGTCTTCCTTATTCACTGTTCAACTTTCACATGCATATGATGTTATTGAAAATACCATGGCTTGGGTCAGGTGCACCTTAGTCCTCAAGCTGACATCTTTGCTCTCCAACACTTTAAAAAAGGTTTTGTGCAGCAGATTTGACTAATGCAATATGTCATTTGATTTCTTGACTGCTCCTTCCATGAGTGTTGATAGTTGATCCAAGAAGAATGAAGTC